AAAAAAATTCGAAATTTCACATTAATTAAATAAAAAAAAAAGGGAAAAAAAAAAAAAAAATCAATAAAAAAAAAAAAAAAAAAAAAAAAAAAAAAAAAATATATATATATATATATATATATATATATATATATATATATATATATATATATATATATATATACATTTTAATTTACACAATGCTGATATAAATATAGAAAAACCGGATGTGGTGTGCCGTTGATGATTAAGTTGGATGATTAAGTTGGGGGGTGCCAATTATTCAGTTTACTGCAGATTATTAAGTTACATAGTGGAAAGTTTGAGAGAAAAATGTGGGATAATTTTTCAAAATGTTTTGCCACATTTGTTTTAAAAAGAAAATCACACACAAGTAAATAAGAAATTGAAATATGTTAGAATATAACAACAAAAAGTGTTGTTCATACACTTATGAATGTTTCAGTTCCACAACAAAACATTAGAAAATAAAGTATCTGTGGTTGATGCTGGTGCAGAATCCAACCTAATGACAGGAAAAATAGATGTGAGGAATTGTAGATGTTTACAGTCATTTATTTATTCTTCACGATTTTTAGTTAAGTCAACGAGAGCCACAGTGAAATGTCCAAAGGGCCACAAATTGGAGTTTAAGTCAATGTTCTTGTTGCTGAGAGACTAAATGTTGACGCTACCTGGGTTGCTTTCTAACTAATATCTTGTCATCTGTGACAGTGGCACCCTCCGCCAAGGAAACTTAAAATCTTAAAATGAATCCTGCTGTGCTGAGTCGGATATAATTTGGGAAACGGGGGGAAAAAAAAAAAAAAAAAAAAAAAGCGCATCAGATTCCAACTCCTTTCCTCCTTCCTCGTTCTCCAGAGACTCCCTACTTGGCCCAGGAAATGGAGGACCGCAGCGTGGCGGTGGGCGACACGGTGGCGCTGCAGTGCAAGGCCCTCGGCAGTCCTCCCCCGCGCATCACCTGGCTGCGCGACGACCAGCCACTGCGACCCTCCGACCGGCACTACTTCACCCCGGGCAACCAGCTGCTGGTCATAGGCGCCGCCTCGCCGGAGGACGCTGGACGCTACACCTGCCTCATGTCCAACACGCTGGGCACAGAGCGCGCCCACAGCCAGCTGGCGGTGACGCAGCACAGGGGCGTGTGCGCCCAGCAGGCGGGCGGAAATGCCATCATCGGCATCATCGTCATCGCCGTGGTGACGAGCATCGTGGTCACGTCGCTGGTGTGGGTCTGCATCATCTATCAGACGAGGAAGAAGAGCGAGGAGTGCAGCGTGACCAACACGGGTGAGTTCAGGACCGAGAACCAGAGAGAGGATCCTGATCGATTTCACCTTCTGACGTCTCCATTTCCTCGCTCCAGACGAGACGATCGTCCCTCCGGACGTCCCCAGCTACCTGTCGTCTCAGGGCACGCTGTCCGAGCGCCAGGACATGTGCATCCGCGTGGAAGCCGGAGGCGGACCGCAGCCCAACGGGCACGTCGTGGACGCCTCAGGTACCCATCAGTCCGCCCACTGCTGCCTCGCTTCTCCAAATATTTGTTCTGCCAGTAGCCTCCGGTCTCTCTGAAAGCCTGCTCAGAGTCGTAAATAACTCCCAATAGACACTCTTAGCACGATTTACTGCCCTCAAATGATTTATCTCCCTCCTCCTCGGCTGCAGGTTTCGACGGAGCGGTGGTGTGCACAGACTGCATGGAGACCGGCAACAGCTACTCCAATGACGCCGACTACCTGACCCACGGATACGGCCTCGCTCGGGGCGCCGAGTACCGGCAGCAGCAGCAGCAGCTGGGGCCCCCGCGCTACTCTCAGTGTAACCCGGGGGAACCGAGGGACACGGGGTCGCACGCATCCGCTCCGCTCTGCAACGGCACTCCCCGCGGAAACCGAAAGGACACGCAAGAATCCGCTGTGCCCAAAAATCACGACACGATAGAGAGGAGTCACGACGAGCGAAAAGGTTCGTGTGCAGATCTGGAATGTTTTTTTTCTTCTTCTTCTCATTGCTTGGAGGACAAAAAAATGCCAACAGTAAGCCATAAATTTAGCTGAATTCCTGAAGCTTTACTCTCTCACAGGAATATCGCTTACATCAGGTGAGCTCACAGAGAACTGAAGAGAAACTCAGGAGTCCTTGTCAATTTGCATCTGGTTGTGAGTTATTATTGCATGACCAGAGTCCCTCAGGACATGTGAGAGAGAGAGAGAAAAAAACAAAAAAACTCTGAAATAAAAACCTCTCCACACCGCAAGACTCCTGCGGCTGCGTGTGCAGGCCTGCGCTGGGATTTAGCCGAGGAGTCATGTGATTGGAATTGGCTTTTCGACTGCCGATTCTCACCTCCGCATGTCAGCGCAGCTCTGTGCTCACATTCCACTCCCTTAGTTTCCTGAAGCTGAATGATTGGTTTATGCACAAGCCCTGCCACAACCCTTGATAAGTATGTGGAAGAGACGACATACAATCCACTGCAGGAAATTCGCTGTCATTTTTAAAGAACCGCCATTTTACTTTGTATTGTAAAATGAAGAAAAACCTCAACTTTTTGTTTAAAGCAAAAAAAAAAAGAAGATGGATATACTTCCGTCTACGGTGTATAGTTTCCAACCTGATGACTAGAATGACAGCAGCATCATTCTGCTGTGAAAACCTAATTCAGTTACTCCATAAAGAACTGTAAAACTATTTTTTACAGTATTTAGTATTCAAAAACATATTTATCAAGTTTAGCCATTGCAGAAAGTCTAGAAAGCCACGTATGGCTTTGGAGCTTTAGATTAAACCGTATTTATGTGTTAGAGTGGCCTAGTCAAAGTCCTGTCATCCTAAATCCAATGAAAAATTGTAACTGGCGTTTGCAGATGCTCTTGAGTTATTTAGTGTCTCTTCAAAATGTTAAGTTAAAAGGCTAAACAAAATTACAAATCATTTTTTTCTACTTCGTGGTACCTCTGTCGATGTCGCTGACGTGACGTTTTCCCTCCCGTGTGTCTTTGTCTCGCAGCGGGCAGAGCGGGACACACGTCGGCGGGCCCGCCGTCGCAGGACGACTCCTTCCACGAGCCGGTGAAGCTGCCCGGCGGGACGAGCCGCCCGCGCACGGACACCGACTGCGAGCCTGAGCTCAGGCAGACTCTGCTGCCTAACGGACACGCCCTCAGAGCCGCTCAGAATGAGAGCGCCCCCCTGAGGAGAGCCAGCGACTAGCAGACACTGAATCAAGCCCCAAAATGTGGACTTTTTAAATAAAAAAAAAGGAAAAAAAAAAAAATCTTTCTTTGCACTGGGAAATAAACTGCTACCTCACATCGAGGGGAACGATCCCGAGCCTCCCGGATCCGAGGACCGACACGGCGATTCCGGGGAGGACCAATAGGGAGAGAGTCCGGAGTTTGAAGATGGAGCTTGTGCGGGTGGCGTCCCGCCCGAGCGTAACGGCTGTACATAGTTTAAAACCTTCATTTGGGAGGTGACCGGTTTAAAGAAAGAACTCTAGCGCCAAAACAAAAAACAAAACAAAAAAAAAGAAAATGTGACTTGCATTTGAAGCATGCAAACATAGGGAATCTTGTACAGTGTAATTATGTGCAGTAGGGGGGGGAAAAGAGAAATATACAGTGGGACTTTTGACTGTACATAAGAGTTTTCTTATATATTATATAACTTTTTCAAAAGAGTGTTTGAATATATGTGCATGGCAAAGAAAGAAGTGATATTTTTATTGTTAGGGGGGAAAAAGAAAACAACCTTTTTCAGCTTCTACCAACGTCCAGCTGCAGTGCCTTATTGCATGATCAAAGATTCAACCTGTGATTTTTATTTTTTATTTAAATTTTTTTTTTTTTTTTTTTTTTTTAGAAAAAAACAGGTACACCTTTTATTGCAAACAAAACACTTGGTTGCACTTGACGGTACGTCTTTAGTTTTTTGGAGAGGAAAGTGCCACCAGCTATGGCCTTACAGAAACACAACTCATGTACGTTGTTGCGGTATGAAGGAAGAGCTTTGATGCGAAACCGTTTCGGTACATTTGCGGGGCAGTCAGTCGGCTCAAGCACTTTTTAAACTCTTCATAAACAGGTTGTCTGTCAACAGGAGTACGGGGAACCTGCTCCGGGTGGAGCACGTTTTTCAGAGTCACCAGAACATGTGGCGTCAATGTTTTTCCACCCGTTTGATATCGTTATGCTACAGATGACCACAAAGCTGCTCTGAACCTCCTAGGATTAATGTGTCTCTTAGGATGGTTGAACTTAGTGACATTGTGACAAATGTAATGAACCTTTGCTATCACCCGGAAGCCGCAAAAGCCAAATATGACCCCGAATATAAATGGAGATGCACCGATCAGAGGCCACTATCAAACAAATTCTGGCGCCCTCTTCAGGGTTTCTGCATGTTTCACCAACTCAAATGTAAGAGTTTTTAAGGCCATCGTGAATAGAATTTAAGGCCCATCTATCCACAGAAACGTGCCAACTTCATCCAACAGAGTGGTGATATATCTACTCTAACCTGTGATGCGTGCAAAATAGAAAAACAAGCTAGCTAGCAAGGGTATGTTAGCAGTGAGCCATTGGTAGTTTTGACCGATCAACTGGATAGGACAGAAAAGTTTAGTGAGAAAAAGACGTCATAGAATATACAAATTAAATAGTCCTCCCAACACCAAATTGTAAGTACCTGTGATTAATGCATTAAAACCCAACTTACTTTTTTAAAACTAATTTAAGAAATCTTAAGTCCTTAATTTTAGATACAATGAATTTAAGACATTTCAAGATTGAGCAGACACCCTTTTTTTTACACCTTTATTTAAAAAACAAAACAAAAAACTTGCTCTTCTGTCAGCAACAACTTCCACACCAAGGAGTGTTGCCAGAGCAGCCTGGTGTTAATCGGGAAAACAAAGGCAATTTTGAGATATCAGCCAATATGAAAATCGGCCGATTCCAGTCCCCAGCTGAAGTATCTGTGCATCTCTACTCGACACACAGGAGGCGGCGTCTTTCCCTTTATTTCCTATGCGTAGTGAAGCGACAGTAGCTTAAATTTCGAGCTTGTAGACACAGACAGCCACAAAAATGTTCATTCCCCCCCCCCAATTTTTTTTCCCAGTTTTTGTCGCTGTCGACTCTGCCGCGTCCCGTGTGTTGGGTTCAGCCCGCCCCCCCTGTACGTCGAGCCCATAAGGCACATTCACAATGAAAGCTACGATCGTGCTTTGGTCACGAATTTGGCTTCGTTTTATGACGTTACTGCTGTAATCTTCCACAACACCCGCTGTTGGAGCAAAGAGGCCAGTACTCCACCCACTTCCACCACTGCAGCTCAGATTTGCGTCACGACTTGAGGGTAAACGCTGTGAACCGCTGGGAAGCCGGTGAAAATGCGCTCCAACCAAACTAGGACTGATGCGTTCAGGCACCCTCCACCTTCTCCCACGGTCCCTGAACACACCGGGCCACGTTCAGTCGGAGCAGTTTCATTGGGTTTCAGAACCAGAGGTAAGGCGGAGGACATCGTCCTCCTGTTACACCTACCAGAGGTGACTTTACCTCCGAGACCACTTAGAGAATCCCCCCTCCCCCTCCCCCCCTGGCCCTAAAGGGACGATAGACAGAGAGAGAGAAAGCGAGGTGCAGTTCATGTTCTGAGACTAATTTATTGAAGCAAAGCGTCTGTACCAATGTCAAAGTTAAAAATAATAATAATAAAAAAAAACAGTGAAGTGTCTAACATGGCATTGAAGTGTCTAATAAAATCACATTTTGCTATGATGACCGGTGTCGTGCCTGTTTGGTTTTTTTTCCCCCTCACCTGTTTAAAAACCCACGGAGCAGATGATTCGAGCCGAGTTAGCATTTAGCGTCCTTATCTCCTCCCTCCTATCGCGGTGCTTATGGAGAAACCATCAGTTCAAATGAAGCGTTCGCTGCGACATGAAACAAAGCTGAGCAAGCAGGAATCTAAATCTTAAATCTAAATCTTAAGCAGGAATCTCTTTTGGCTCCTCGCAGCTCCAAAGACAGCAGGCTTTTTTTCTTTTCTTTTATTGTACCCCCTTCCAGCCGCGGCCTGTTGTAAGTATCTGCTTTTGACGGGAGGCTGACTTCAGAGTCAGGATGTGCATTCCAGATGGATGATTGACGAAATCAGTTTTAGATCAGTTAGAATGACCAAAATGATTTCCATTCACTGTATGATAAACATAAAACCATTTTTCTTATTCTGACATAAAATAAAAAAAATGTGTCCTATTTTAAATTGCTGGGGGCCAAAAAAAAAAAAAAAAAAAAAAAAGTCTCTGGTTTCAACTGTTTACACACAAAACCTGGAAAGTCTCTCCCTTTGTTCTTCATTTTAAACCTTCCGCACGTCTCGCCCTCCACCGTTTGTCACAACAACCTACTTTCGCGGGGAGCGAGGTAGAAAACAGACGCTCTGCTGTAATAAGAGATCAAACGCAGAAATTAAATGTGCATGCAAGTTGCGGATCCCAGCAGCTGATGTCTCAGAAACCTTTGCAAACCGAATCAAAGCCACATGCCTGGCCCAGGCCGCAAGTAGGAAAATATTCAGGAATTTCTTTTTGTGACCAGCTTAAGAACCCAGATGCATTTCTCACTGCAGCATTAGTAGGAATCTAAAATGCCATATCAATGCAGCAATATGGCATTGTGGGCAGCAGGTACGAACTGATGCATTGTGGGTTGAACTCATGATCTAGTCAAGCTACAGTTGATTTCTTGCTAAAATTTGATGCTGGATGCTAATTCACCCAAATATGTTTAAAACAGACGTTCAGAGGACATCCTGCTTTTCCCACCATCGAAAGTTCCTACCATGTTTTCCACATAGCTACGGAAAGAGACACCATAAAGTCTCGACAGGTAAGACCTGGAGCTGTAATGGAGAATCTCGTGTGGAGCAGCCGAGCCTGCAGATCGACCCCACAGTCTTGTTAATTCAACAAAGTGCTCTATTGTTGGCGGCGTCTCAGGGGGAAATATACGGCTCCCGTAGGTGGGATGAGGTCAGCTTTGCTCTAGTTGGAATGTAACAACGGTGACATATCGCTGCGTCTCCCGGGTGGGTCTTTTACGCAGGTGGCTGAGCTTAACAGAGAGAAGAAGATATGGATTAAAACATTAGACAAACGGACGTTAAACGTTGTAGGACCGGAGTCTAGAGGGTGATGGGAAAATCACAAGAAGTATAAAAGAGAGTCTTTAATTCCAAAATCCATTCCAACATTACAGGACAGGATCATAAATATTACTAGAGTCTTTTCCACGTTATCCACCAGGAATGCAGCATCCTGGGTAATGTAGTCGGCTCCGAATCCTCAGGGCAGCGAGCTGGCAGCGTTCCCCAGGCTGCACGGCGACACCGACACCGAGGGTCTGCTGTGTGTGTATGTGTGGGGTGGGGGGGGGGGGAGGTGCCACGAAGCCCCCCTATAGCAAAGTGCGGCGGACCTTTTCGTACGCTCCCAGGAAGATGAAGCCTCCCACGCTGATGAAGGCCATCCTCGGGACGCTGCCTGCAAACAGCCTGCGGGAACACACGGAAATCACAGGACGTCACCTTCTCTGGAGAAATGTCAAGAAATGGACACAGCTGTAGCTCTTGCGCTTTATTCCTAGAAGAACCTCTAACACAGGGGTGTCAAAGTCATTTTCGTTTTGGGCCAAATCAAGATCATTTCTGCTCTTAAAGGGCCGGTTGTGCCAGAATGCATTGATAAAACCTGATCAAAAACCGTTAAAATATCAATGAGGTACAGAAACAGGGTTGAACATCTTTTCAGTCAGTCCAAGGATTTCATGTTTGTGGGACTAATTTGGAAATATTTGTGATATTTGCCCTTATTTATGACGTAAATGTGGCTTTTTATAACTCGCTGTACAGATTATGGACTATAATTTCACTTCTATTAAGACTGAGGCAGCTGCTTAGGACAAGTAAGAAAGTTTTTGACAATTTTTGAGAAAAATCTGCAATAAACATTGCAAAAATTGATAGCACCAAAAGAGTATGGTGGATTTGAAGATTTTGCATGAATTTCCAAGTGCTCTAACATTTGTTCTCTTTTTCCTCATTTGTTTATCTGCTGCGACGTTTTTAACTGCATTTACTTTTCGAATCTGTTCGGCGCAAAACAAAATGTTTTTAAGAGATGCGGCGATCAGAATCGACCTGGTGACACGGTTCCGATTTCTCTTTAAAACAGGAACTGGATGAGCGAAGCCCAAAATGAGATTTCAAGCTCTCCGAGAGTGGTCGCTTGTTATCTTTATTAGGAGCGGAGGCGACGTCACACTGTGTGAGTGACATCAGAAGCTTATCGAAACAATACCACAGAAAACATGCGTCATGTCAAAGCTAACGGTGTCCAATTAAATATTAGTGTGCAACATTTTTGGGGGGCATTTAACAAGTTTGAGTCAGACGACATGCTTATGCTTTCATAGAAATCAGCTTATAATCCTGATACAAACTTAATGAACGACAACACAGATGTTAAAGGTGAGCAAACAGCGCCAAATTAAACATATTATATGCAAAAGCAGTCCCACAAAATAAGTTCCAGGTTCTAGCAGACAGTTTTAGCATCTCATGTTTAGCTTCAACACTTGACAGAACCGGACTAATTTATGGCTTTCTGGTGTTCAGGTGCTGGGAAACAGTCAGGCATAAAGCTTCAGGGGTTTTATTTTTTCATCTTTTTTTTTATTTTTAAGGTCTGACTTGGGGGCCCAACGAGTCGCTGTTGACGTTATGGAGGTCAGAGGATGTTACGGGCCATGAGAGAGCGCCCATATCCCAAGAACCGAGCCTCCCACTCTCCTCCTGACACACACAGCTGCTTTTGGAATTAGGCTACAAGCCCCCCCACCTTTGTTCCTCGTTGGAGCTCTCATCCCTCTGGTTTTTATCTTTTTTTCCTCCTTTTCTCTCACTTTCTCTGTGCTTGACCGACGGCCAGATGACATCCACACATGTTGGTGTGCTGTCCATCCATCCGACGCCCTTCCTCACCCCCAACCCTTCCCCAAGCTGGCTCACTTGTTCGGGATTTCTCCTCCGCTTCTCGTTTTTGCTGCGTCATCCACCTCTTCGACACATGCTCGTGTTGTCTCTTCGTTTTTTTTCTTCTTTTTGCTCTCCCTCCTCTTCTCTCCGTCTTTCCCTTGCCGAGCATTTGCCTACTGACACCTTCCGTCTGCCAAAACGCCCCCGCGCTCACATGGTCTGGCCCCGGCCCGGGCCAGATGTTACGGATGACGGCTGCCTTGTGCGTTGAGTTCGGCTCGCAGGCGCAAGAGTTAGGGGGGCAGGGGGGGCGAAAAAAAAAAAAAAAGAACAAAAACTTACAGCCGCACATAAAAAATAAAAAGTCTGTCTGCATTTATCATCTGCGTGGGAGTGTTGGTCCTTATGTTTCGGTCTGTTTTCATTTTGCAAAATCACCTCTGAATCGCTGCAATAACAGACTTCGGTTTTCATCAACTCATAAGGAAGTTCTGAAAAGCAAGAAATACGGCGAGATTTGACCTTAGCAATTACTTTTTTTTTTTTATTTAAGCTGAACCAGGAATAAAATGTGTAATGTAAACTGTTTTAGAATGACGTCAACTCTTCCCCCCCCCCCCCCCAAGGAAACATACCTGATCATATCGGATCAAAAAACACAAAATCTTATCAGAAACTAACTTACAAGTTACTTTTTTGGCTAAATATAGGAGCTTCCTTAATATTAACAAACTAAAAGTAGACTACTACTTCCAGTGGAAGATTTTTTTCCACTCACAGCTTGACAAATGTCTATCAAGTGGTTTTTCTTTTTAATC